GTTGCCGAAGCGGAGGGTTGGGGAGTTGCATGACGGAAGCAGGTGGGAGGGACTGAGGGAGACAGGGTGAGGCAGTGGGCGGGGAAGACAGTGCAAGACAGAGGCAAGGGGGAGGAGGAGGTTACCACCAGAGCTCGGATGGGCGTTGGCATGCATGTGTGTTTGTTTTCGTGTGTGGACAGGTGTGCTCCAAGGAGCCAGCTGGATCTGGATTGATGCAGCTGGAGGCAAAGCAGCAAGAGGCGGGGAAGAGAGGTGAAGGCATCATGGATGCTAGTCTGCTCAGAGGCTGCGTTAGCTACTGCTGAACAGACTAGAGAATTGACAGGACGGGGTGTAGGGAGGTTGCTGGTAGTATAGGAGGTACCTTGTTGAAGCTATCCTGTAATGCTTGTATGTTTCCTTTACAATACGAGATTCTTGCAGCAAAAGTACGCAAGTAGTAACGCTAAGGGGATATGACAAGCAAGAATGGTTGATAGGAGCTAGCTAGGTTAGTATGTGAGGGAGCAGGAGCTTATCACATACTAACCTAGCTAGCTCACCCCAAGTGTCATATTGAGAAGGTAAGGGAACGGAGGAGGGAGTCCGACAATCGTCGACGCCATCATCTACGTCGAGCAGCCACACGCATTTGAAGAAGACGGCGACTCTGTTTGTCTCCTTCAAAAGTCCCTGTACGGTATCAAGCAGGCACCACGCCTGTGGCAGCAGCATCTTCACGGCGTCCTCATCGAGCTCGGTTTCCAGCAGCTTCCCCACGATCAGGGGATGTACCGCCTCGAATCCCGCGGCCACTTCATCCTGCTCGTTGCCTACGTCGACGACCTTCTCTACACCGGCGACGACAACGACCTGCTCGATTGCTTCGAAAGCGAGATCCAGGAGAAGCTGGAGGTTACTATCCTCAATTCCTCGGCCTTAACGTCACTCAGACCGCGGATACGATTCACCTCTCCGCCGCAAAATACGCCGAGACCCTCGCTAAGAAGTTCGGGATAGCTCCCGTCGGCGTCACCACCCCGTTCCGCATTCCCCCGCCTAACCACGAGCCCGACACTACTCCGCTCTCACCGGCTGATCACCGTTTCTACCAGCAGCAGCTCGGATGTTTACTGTTCGCCGCCGTCACATGCCGCCCGGACTTATCTTACATCGCCAGTCAGCTCGCCCAGTACCTGCGCCGACCTGAAGGGGAGAACCTAGCAGACCTGCGCCGCGCCTTACAGTATTTCATCTCTACGCCTGATGTCGGCCTCACCTACAAGGCCAACTTAACAGCCCCACTACAACTCACCGGCTATGTGGATGCTGACCACGCTGGGGACGCAGACAACAGGAGGTCCCGCACAGGCTTCATTTTCAAACTTGAGCCCGCAGGAACCATCTCCTGGAACTCCAACAAACAGGAACTCATCGCCCTCTCGTCAGCAGAAGCAGAATTCATCGCAGCAAGCGCAGCAGTTCGCGAAGGACTCTATCTCACGGAGCTCCTGCAGGAAACGAAGACGGCGATGAACGGGTCCTTTAAGTTACTCTGCGACAACCAGAGCGCAATCAAAATCGCAAACAAGCCAGGCTTCGTCAACCGCACGAAACACATCGCCCTGCGTTACTTCTTCGTGAAGGACGAAATCGACAAGGGGAAGGTCCAGCTCACCTACTGTCCAACTGGCGAAATGGCAGCTGATTTCCTCACGAAGAAACTGCCACGTCAGAAGTTTCAGTACTGCTCGGACCTGTGCGGAGTCACTCGCAAGAACCACGTGGCGCACCTCCAGGAATGAAGGGGAGTGTTGGAGTGTGAAGAGGAATTATACTTAGCATTCCCGTAGGTGCAGTAGTATCGCACCTGACTCTGTCGAAGCAGCAACAACCGCAATATCGGATCAGCCCGTATCGAGGGCAGGAAGGTCAACAGTCGCAAGAGCCAACTGTCGCGACTGTTGACCATCTGGACCGACGCTTGACTTACCATCGAGGAATGGCAACAGGCGTAACCGTACAGGTTACATGCAGCGACTCGGTAACAAGAAGGAAGTACAACATTCAGAGTCACTGTAGAAATGCCTGTAGAGCAGTTATAATAAGGGAATGTACCCCTTAGAGTACATGGCTAGATTAGGACTACTTATATCCCTTGTATTCTATCTTTTAATCAACTTGGTCATCTACATTCACTATGATCTGAGTTCTTAGAACAAGACTTCCGTTACCAACTCTTCTAAGGCAACTCCTATCCTATCTAAGGTCCTCAATCTAACAACAGGCACCTAGCAGAACAGAAATACCGTATGTATGCTACAAGGTGCCATTACTAGATTGGGCCCCATTGCTGTATGGGGCCCTGTTAATACCGTATGTATGCTACCCTGTTAAGGTAGCTTCACTAGATCAGGCAATCCCAACAATAGACTGGAAATGCCTGATGCCTTTTGTACCACACGTGCCATGAGCGTGTAGCTCAAAAAACACTCTGCCCCTTTTTTGGAGCATTCGCAGGGATACCGGTAGCTGGCTGATCACTAGGTTCACTTCACAGGTGAGATGCCGCTACTTCTGGCGCTTGTAGATCTTCTTGAGAAACGATGTCAACGCCTCCTGCAAGCAGCACAGCAAGTGCAGCAAAAACAGAAAGAGGGGAGACGTGAGAAGAGCGGTGTGAGGAAAGAGATCAGTTGCTACTTCTGACGCTTGTGAACCTTCTTGAGAAACGATGCCAATGCCTCCTGCAAGCGGCACGAAAAGTACACGGCAAGAGGGAAGACGTGTGAGGGAGAAGCGAGAAAAAAGGTCAGCTGCTACTACTTCTGGTGCTGGTATACCTTCTTGAGGAACGATGTAAATGCCTCCTTAAGGCCACACATCAAGATGTTGCAGCAAACGAGAAGACTTTCAGAGTGAAAGAGCGAGGATAGAGGTCAATTACTGCTTCTGTCGTTTCTATAAATTGTCAAGAAAGGATGTCAATGCCTGCTGCCAACAGCATGACAAGTGCAGCCAACGCAGCAAGAAGGAAGACATGAGAGGAAAAACGATAGTTTTGAGACATCTCAAAACTAAAGAGCAGACAACGCCGCAAGAAGGAAGAAATGAGAGGAGAAACGAGAGGAAAGCAACCTGGCGTTTTTTTGCGATTCTTGAGTGAGGATGTAAGCAGACAAGTGCAAGCGGGTGCACGGCAAGAGGGAGGACTAGAGTTGCATGTCTGTCGCCAAGGCAGCCTTCAACTGCCAGAAACCGCAATGCAAACCATCGGTGCAGCCCCCCACGAGGACAATGCGGCATTACGGCCCCTATTGCAGCCACTGCAGCCGCTATTGCAGGCAACGCAGCACCTGATTCAAAGGGCTCTGTCTCAGAGGCTCGCGGTGCACTCACCCTCAAGGGGTTCTCTCTCCGCTTGGGGTGATTTTTGAGGCGCCTAAAAAAAAACCTCGTTACACGTGGCTCGCCGCCCACTCACCCTCAAGGGTTCGCTCTCCACTCACCCTCAAGGGTTCGCTCTCCACTCACCCTCAAGGGTTCGCTCTCCACTCACCCTCAAGGGTTCGCTCTCCACTTGGGCGATGGCGGCTGTGATGCTCGCGTGGCTCTCCTTCTCGTACTCTGCGAATGCATCCTGTAGCATGTCAGAGACAGTAGGGTTGGGGGAAATTGGGTGGAGTGGAATGAACGAAGAGGACTGACTGAAGGGGGTCTAAGAATGAATCCGGCAAAAACACAAAGAAAGGCTGTCACTAGAGTTTGAATGGACGTGTTTTGAGTTGACTGAAGAATGCACGTGCAAGTGGAATGCGCGATTTTCCAGACGCCTCAGAAACCTAAGTGACCAGAAAGTCACTCAGAGTCTGTCCGAATGGGCGTGTGAGGAATGGGGATGTCGGCTAGAAACGAAATCATTTGTGACCGCGGCAAGTAGCACACGAGAAACCAGGCATGGACGAGCAGCAGCAGCGCCAGCACCCTCAGGGCTGTCGCCCTTTTAGGCAGGCAGCACTATCTGTCAGATCAGACATGCAGCACTTTGACATGCCCATAACCACGGCCCGGCCAACCAAAGTCGTCATAACTGTATGTAGCTGTGGCAACTAACAAACCAGAAACCAGGCACGGCTAAGCAGCAGCAGCAACGCCAGCACCCTCTCGGGCGGGCAGCACTGTCTGCCAGCCATGCAGCAGTCTGGCCTGCCCATAACCACGGCCCCGCCCAACCTAACTGATACCTGTTTACGGACTCGGACCAACTCTCATGAGTGCAAAGGCTTGGGCAACTCTTCAGAGTGCAAATTCTTAGGCAGCTCTTACGAGTGCTAAGGTTTGAAGAACTCTCATGAGTGCAAAGGCTTGGGCAACTCTGTTGGTGGCTGAGTCACCGCACAGGCGAGCTGGCCGATCAGTTTTGCATGCAAGCCCTGCTGCAAAGGGCCCTTGGTTTCCAAGAGGTTGCTTTTGAAGCGAGGGCAGGTTTCGGACGGGAGGCAAGGTGGAAGCTTGGAGCCTTGGCCCCCGTCTGAGTGCATGCGGGGTAGCATAGTAGCACACAAAACAAAAGCACTCGGCATCTTGATGCTTTCATGGTGCTTTCATCAAGTCTCACCTCCGACTCATAATCTCCCCCATTGCAGAAGTGCTTTTCATCTTGATAATTTAACGGTGACTTCATTCATGGTGCCACATGCCAAACGCACCTGCGGATTCATGTCCGTGTACAGCCATTTTATGGCCGCCACACACTACTGGTGGCACTCAACCACACTCAACCACACATTGAGCTGGACGCATCTGCAGCTTCATGTCCGTGTACAGCCGTTTTATGGCCGCCACACACTGCTGGTGGCACATCCGAGATTCCACACAACACAACAGGCTGCTCCATGCACTCACCACAGACAGGCACAGGCTGATGTGAGCGCACCTGCAGCTTCATGTCCGTGTACAGCTGCTTTATGGCCGCCACACACTGCTGGTGGAATGTGTGAGTGCACACACCAAACGGCTCAATGCACCACTAACCACACACACTGATGTGAGCGCACCTGCAGCTTCATGTCCGTGTACAGCTGCTTTATCACCGCCACACACTTCTCGTCCTTCTTGCCGTAGTTGCTCTGCGTTCATAGGAGACGTGGGGAGGGCAGACGAGGAGCAAGGGGGAAGGACAGGAAGGGAAGAAAGGGTTGCTTCTTGGGTGTTGAGACGAACCAAAGGCTGCTAAGGGTTGAGATTTTGACCCGGACGGGTCGGGTTGAGCATGACCCGAAAGCATGCAAACCTTTAGGGTAATGGCGACCCGTCAGGACGGGTCGACCCGACACGACTTAACCCGTCACCCGCGCCGATCGAGTGCCAAGAAGGCCGATCTGCGCGGATCCGCCACCAAAACCACCGATTCACGTTGATCAGCGGTCAAAATCAGTGATCCGCAGGGGACAAGCACGAAGGGCAAAGACAAAAAGGCGAACCAAATAGGGTGATTCGTGTCTATACAGCTTCGCAAGCACCGTGCCTGGTCCCCTGTCCACGCCCTCTCACCTCAATGACCTGACCTGGTTTCAACGCCTCACAAATCTTCTCAAGTGTCCCGTCCCCTACCTAACCACGCCCCCTCACCTCAATGATCTGCCGCTGCTCCTGTGTGGCCCGCTGCAGCGCCTGCACCACGAGCCACGAGCACTTGGTGTCCTCTATGTCCGTGCCCACCTGGTGATGCACATGGTTTGGGATACGCAGTGCGGGGGGAGGGGTGAGAGGGTAATCACCTGCACCACCAGCCACGAGCACTTGGTGTCCTCTATGTCCGTGCCCACCTGATGATGCACATGGTTTGGGATACGCAGTGCGGGGGGAGGGGTGAGAGGGTAATCACCTGCACCACCAGCCACGAGCACTTGGTGTCCTCTATGTCCGTGCCCACCTGGTGATGCACATGGTTTGGGATACGCAGTGCGGGGGGAGGGGTGAGAGGGTAATCACCTGCACCACCAGCCACGAGCACTTGGTGTCCTCTATGTCCGTGCCCACCTGGTGATGCACATGGTTTGGGATACGCAGTGCGGGGGGAGGGGTGAGAGGGTAATCACCTGCACCACAAGCCACGAGCACTTGGTGTCCTCTATGTCCGTGCCCACCTGGTGATGCACATGGTTTGGGATACGCAGTGCGGGGGGAGGGGTGAGAGGGTAATCACCTGCACCACAAGCCACGAGCACTTGGTGTCCTCTATGTCCGTGCCCACCTGGTGATGCACATGGTTTGGGATACGCAGTGCGGGGGGAGGGGTGAGAGGGTAATCACCTGCACCACAAGCCACGAGCACTTGGTGTCCTCTATGTCCGTGCCCACCTGGTGATGCACATGGTTTGGGATACGCAGTGCGGGGGGAGGCGTGAGATGGTAATCACCTGCACCACAATCCACGAGCACTTGGTGTCCTCTATGTCCGTGCCCACCTGGTGATGCACGGGGGAGGAGGAGTGAGTAGGGAGGGGTGGAGGAGGTGAGGGGGTAGAGTGGCACCTCTGGCAGCGCCTGCACCGCGAGCCACGACCACATGGTGTTTTGTCCTCCCTCTATATCCGTGCCCACCTGGTGGAAGATTGGGGGGGAGAGGCGCGGGGGAAAGGGGAGGGGATGGGGGTGTGACGTGGGGCCATCTGTCAACATCCCCACCAGTCATGAGAGCTTGGTGACTGACCAAACCGCTACACACCGACTCAAAACGTACCAGTCTCAGCTCTGAGTCTCGCCCTCCAATCTCATCCTCCAACCAAGCCAGAACCACACAGGCCCAACCCTAAGTGTTTCTCACATTGTTTTGAGTCGACTGAAAACATCCTCCAAGCCAGAACCACACAGGCCCAACCCTAAGTGTTTCTCACCTTACCTATCACGGCAGGGTCCCCGTAGCAGTCGAGCACGTCGTCCTGCACCTGGAAGTACGTCCCCATAACCACCACACCACACCAGCACGCCGACACCAGCATACCCGGCCCCACACCCCTAACTCCAGACACTAACCCAGTTACCAGCTACCCACCTTGCCAATCACAGCAGGGTCCCCGTAGCAGTCGAGCACATCGTCCTGCACCTGGAAGCACGTCCCCATCACCAGACACACAACCACACCCAGCCCACACACTCAACTCCAGACCCTCAACCTGCTCTGCCACCACCAGCCCTCCTGTTTCCCCAACAACCCACCTTGCCGATGACAGCGGGGTCACCAAAGCAGTCGAGCACGTCGTCCTGCATCTGACAGTACGTCCCCATCACCACCAGGATCTCCCTCGCCTGTGCTGCCAGTGCTGCGTCCTCCACTCCTGCCAGGATCAACGCCGTTGCCACCTGGAGAGGGGCGGTGGGGGGAGGAGAAGGGGCAAGGGCGGGGTCACACGGCTGTGGTGTGGCAACTGGCCATGTAGCCTTTGCACTGCTAATGATGCGTCCTCCACGTGCGCCCCATCAGAGGCGCCGGAGAGAGGAGACGTGCGGGCACGGGAGGAGACGCTTTTGAGAAAGCCTCCAAAGCCCGCCCGCCCGCCAGCCAGCCAGCATCAGCGCGGTAACCACCTGGGTGGGAGTGAGAAAAGGGTGAGTGCATGGTTGACACGAGGTTGTGAGATGCGTTGTTTCTTTTTATTTCTTTCTTTCTTTTTGCTACCTCCTCTCGCGAACGTTTTTGTAGAAAAAAACGTGCGTGGGCGGCGGGAGGGATGAGATGAGAACCCAGAACATGCTTACAGGGATGCGGTGAGGACGGACAGGAGGGAGGGAGAAAGGAAGACGCTTACAGGGAGGTAGAAGGAGTAGTAGGCTGTCTTGTACTGCACGATCTGAATATTGAGTCGACTCAAAAGTCAGCTCGAGGAAAAGTATCATTGCAGGGAGAGAGAAAGGAAGACGCTTACAGGGAGGTAGAAGGAGTAGTATGCCGTCTTGTACTGCACAATCTTTAGGTAGCTGGGAGGGAGAACAAGGGGCAGGGGAAACAAATGGGGGAAGAGTTGGGGAAGGGAGAGAGGAGGGGCGGGGGAAGAGTGGGATGGAAAGGAGGGGGACGGACGTCATGAGAAGTTGTAAGGAAGAAGGGACGGATGGTGGACGGATGAAAGGAACGGATTTTGTGGTATCTTGCCACCATATAGCCATGTGGACATGATGCATTACAGTATACCCGCATGGACGTGGTGCGATGCCACAGTATACCCCCGTGGAGATGGTGTATCCCTACGGTATACCCACGTGGACATGGTGTATTTGTTGAGATCCACCTCCCCTTCGGGAGTGGTGATGAGGTCCAGCATCTGCCCACACGCTGTCTGGTATGTCACCTGCAGAGGAGGAAGATTGGAGGGGGAAGAGGGGAGAGGAAGGGGTAAGAGGGGAACAGACAGATGGAAGGAGTGGTGATGAGGTCAAGCATCTGCCCACACGCTGTCTGGTATGTCACCTGCAGAGGGGCGGGTTGGGAGGAATAAAAAGGAGGGCGGGAGGAGGGTGGGAGGAGGGCGGGAGGAGGGGGGAGGAGGGGGGAGGAGGGGATAAGACGGGTACAAACAGAAGGCGTGGAGACGTGGAACATCTGCCCACATGTAGGTCCCGTTATACATGGGCAACGAGGCGAGTTTTTCGCCTCGGCTCGTACGAGGCACTCGTTCGAGGGCGAGTGACGAGTGTGCTTTTCCTTGGAAATAGCTCATCCGAGCCGAGCCGAGTTTAACTCGGCGAGCTTTTTAAACTCGCCGAGCACTCGTTGCGCTGACGAGCTTTTTGGGAAACTCGTACGTGAGCATAAGAAAGTACGTGAATGTATATGGTAACGAGCCGAGCTTCCCTCGGCTCGTCCGAGCTTTCCTTGAAGCTCGGACGAGCTTTTGAAAAGCTCGTGCTATTTAGCCGAGTCACGAGCTTGCATTTGCCCGGAAAAAGCCCGTACGAGCAAAACTCGGCTCGGAACAAAGCTTGTACGAGTGTGCCTGGGGACGAGCCGAGTAAAACTCGGCTCGGCTCATTGCCCATGTATAGGTCCCGTGCAGAGGAGGCAAGGGGGAGGGAAGGAGGCGGGAGGGGGGAGGAGCAGAATAAATAAATGGAAGGCGTGGTGATGAGGACGAGCATCTATCCACACAGGGAAGGAAGGGAGGGGGGAAATGCAAGAACAGGGAGTTGGGAGAACGGGAGAAGGAGCAGCGTACCTCGTTAAAGAGGTCGAGCAGGCAGGTGTAGGCAGGGTGGGAGGAGAAGTGGCAGCACAGCTTTGAGGCGCCTCAAAAGGGAAGGTGGTGGGGGGGAGGAGCAGCGTACCTCATTAAACAGGTCAAGCAGGCGGGTGTAGGCGGGATGGAAGGAGAAGTGGCGGCGCAGGATGAGGAAGATGTGTGAGTTGAGCAGCACACCATCGTTGATGGCGATCATTCCCACCTGTAGGCAGGCAGGCATGGGTGCATGGGTGAACGCATGGGTGCATGGGTGAACGCATGGGTGCATGGGTGAACGCAGGGTGCATGGGTGAACGCAGGGTGGCACCCTCTCTTCCACTAGCTTGCTGCATGGCATGATGCAAGCGGTGAAGGGAGCATGTGCTTTGTTCGTAAAGCGATGACTTACTCCTTTCCCTCTCTTTCCCACTCCTTCACTCTCCTTCCCATTCCTTTCCCTTTGCTTTCCTTCTGCCCTGCCATTGCTCTGCCACTCTCCTCTTCTCCCCGTCTGCTCGGCTAAGTGTGCCGTGCAGGCTGCAGCAGGGCAGCGGGGCGCCATGGAGGGGAGGACATGGGCGCCCTCCTACCACACGCGCCATAGGGCGAGTGGATGCTGGGCTCTATGGCACTCTCCATGCGCCCTGCCACCACACGCGCCACTCATCCACCCCTCCTTCCCTCCTGCTTGGGCCTCCGACTTGCTGCTGCAGCTGGGGTGACTGCTGCAGCATGAGCACTACATGGGCTCTCACCACTCAGCAGGAGCTACATTAGCCTCTAGTGGAGGCGACAAGGCAATAAGAGTTGACAAAGGCTGTCTTGGACCTCAAGTTATTTACCATATAATACATAAACGTTCTCACACCCACCAGTGTTGCAAAAGAGGGACCATCACAAATATCCATACATGACCAATGCTATCATTATTGAATATATAGTACCTCACACTGATTAGGGTATTTTGATAAGTAACTTGCTACGCGATGTTATGATACGGCAAGGGCCCACATCACACTATCCTAAATCTAACTAGCTTGTCTGCTTGGTTGCTTCATGCCTGACGAGCTGCACCACGGAAGAGAGAACAGGGAGGGAAGAGAGATCAGGGAGGGAAGAGAGATCAGGGAGGGAAGAGAGATCAGGGAGGGAAGAGAGAGCAGGGAGGGAAGAGAGAGCAGGGAGGGAAGAGAGAGCAGGGAGGGAAGAGAGAGCAGGGAGGGAAGAGAGAGCAGGGATGGAAGAGAGAGAAGGGAGGGAAGAGAGAGCAGGGAGGGAAGAGAGAGCAGGGAGGGAAGAGAGAGCAGGGAGGGAAGAGAGAGCAGGGAGGGAAGAGAGAGCAGGGAGGGAAGAGAGATCAGGGAGGGAAGAGAGAGCAGGGAGGGTAGAGAGATCAGGGAGGGAAGAGAGAGCAGGGAGGGAAGAGAGATCAGGGAGGGAAGAGAGAGCAGGGAGGGAAGAGAGAGCAGGGAGGGTAGAGAGATCAGGGAGGGAAGAGAGATCAGGGAGGGAAGAGAGAGCAGGGAGGGAAGAGAGATCAGGGAGGGAAGAGAGAGCAGGGAGGGAAGAGAGATCAGGGAGGGAAGAGAGAGCAGGGAGGGAAGAGAGAGCAGGGAGGGAAGAGAGAGCAGGGAGGGTAGAGAGATCAGGGAGGGAAGAGAGATCAGGGAGGGAAGAGAGAGCAGGGAGGGAAGAGAGATCAGGGGGGAAACAAAGGGTAAGAAGGGAAGAACAGAGGGTAAGCAGGGGGGAAGCAGTGCATAAGCAGGGGGAAAATATGGGGGTGGCTGGCTCTCAACGAGGTGATTACCGCATGCTATTCCCCCGTGCCTGCTTGCATGCTATCCCCCCACGCCTGCTCGCATGCTATCCCCCCGCGCCTGCTCGCATGCTATCCCCCCGCGCCTGCTCGCATGCTATTCCCCCGCGCCTGCTCGCATGCCAGCCACCCGTGCCTGCTCGCATGCTATTCCCCCGCGCCTGCTCGCATGCTATCCCCCCGCGCCTGCTCGCATGCTATCCCCCCGCGCCTGCTCGCATGCTATTCCCCCGCGCCTGCTCGCATGCTATCCCCCCGCGCCTGCTCGCATGCTATTCCCCCGCACCTACTCGCATCCGACCTCCCTCGCATATCGCGGCTTACCCCGTCGCAAATTCTGGCTCCCATCCCCCTCGCACCTCCGCATCATCGGAGCCCATTCCCGTCCGCGTCGCCAGACCGCGTCGCTGCTCACACCCGGCCGCTCGCCTCACGTAATCGCGGCAGCTCCCAGCGCGCGCCCCGCACGTAAACGCGACACACACCCCACCGCCACTCGCGCAATATCGCGACTCACTCCGGTCCGCGGCTCGCACCTCCTCGCTGCAGACTTCAGTTTGTGTTACGTATTTTCTTATACTGAATCCCGTCTCGCGCCCGGAGAATAAAATTTCGCCAGAAAAAAAATTAGTACCACAGTGGTAGAAAGCTGGAGCTAAAGCGCTATGAGGAGTGGATCGTAATACTGAAATGCAGGAAAATGAGCTTGGTGGGAGTGCTACATGGAAAGCGAGAGGACGACGGTAAAGCTCGCGGCTCAGAGGAGAGGAGAACGCGGCGATATGGCGAGCAGATATCTGGCGACGAGACCAGCTGATCTAAGGCGATGAGGCGAACAGATCTTAGGCGAGGAGGTGAACCACCGTGGTTAGGCGACGAATTTTCCTAACAGTGACTGTTAGGCGAGGCGGCGCTCTGATATCTGGAAACGAGAACAGGGCAGAACGCGACAGTGTGTTTGACTGCGCTGGTAATCCGCGGCCGACGCGGCCTAAATCGCTATTGCGATCGAGGTGTAGGTACCGGAAGCAGGTTTGATTCCGTGGCGACTATAATCTTCGGAATCACTAGGGGTCTATCGAGTGAGCTTTGGCAATCATTGTCGGGAGAGTTTTGGTCTACAAACCATCATGCGGGTCAAGTTATAATCTGGCGAACTTGTTTCGGCTGTTGGTTTGCTCAACCCCACCCCCCTCCCTCCTTTCGACTTTCGTTTCTCTGCAAAGGGGTACTTGGAGGGACTGGGTTACCCTGTTTTCAAGTGATAAACCTTTGCCTCCCGCTTGAGGTATGTAGACCGCAGCTTTAATAATTGCGTCATGTTGACAAATATTCCCCCCTTCTCCTCCTTCCTCGCTGATTTAAACTAGCATCCCTTTACCAAGCTGACACCAACTACCCTCTCATCACCATGCAACGGCATCTAGCACCACTACTACCCCCATGCACCACCCCCACCCCTTCTCCTGCAAAGTCGTCAGCACCAACTTCTCTTCACACTGGCTCGCCGTGTTGCTTACTGTCTTCCAAGCTTCTACGCAGCAATAGCATTAACCATGGCAATGGACGGGTTCCTCCAACCAGCAGGCACCGCGTTGAACCCATACCCACCCTTTGCCAGCTTCCCAATCATGAACTGCATGAACGCCTTGGCAATCTTCCCGCCAGTCACGCCCGTCAGCGACTTGCGGATGAACCCAAACTCCATGGAAACCATCGCAGGGGTCTTGGCTCCGGCCTTCCAGATGAAGTCCACGCTGCTCCAGGACCCGTCGGCTGCGGGAGGCGCGCCCACGAGCGCCGTCCCGGGGGTCCACGAGGGCGGCCCGACGGCGACGCCATTGGCGTTCTTGAGCGCGGCGATCACGCGCTTCGGGTTGTTGGGCTTCCTGGCGTTGTAAGGCACGACGCTGCATCCGCCGGTGAACGCGTAACCGATGGCGCCCTTGGTCTTGAGCACGGCGGCGCACACGGCGCTCGTGCCCTCTACCTTGGTGACGCCGGCGTAAGTCAGGGCTGTGCCGTCCGTGCCGCCGCTGTACCCGGACACGGCCTTAGACCACATGGTCTTGACAATGGCGGTACTTCCGGACTTGTCGCTGCGCCCCACGGCGGTGATGGCGCCCGCGACCTTGCCCACCGCGCCGGGAACGGCGGACCACGCGGTGATCGCGCCGCTGTAGATCTGGAACGTCTGGGTGGCCGTCAGAACGATGCCAGGCTTTCCGTTGACGAAGAAGCTGAAGGTGGAGACGCAGAGAGGCACGGTGATCTTGCCGCTGGCGACGACGCCTCCCTCTTGCGCGGCGGTCATGGGATCATCGGAGACGGCAATGAGGTAGGTGCCGCCGTTGAATCCGGTGATTCCGGCGCCTGATCCCACCGAGTCGTATGCAACGACGTCCTGGGAGATTCCCGGCTTGGCCGCGTTCCATGCCTTGATGATCGCCCCGCCAGCCTGGAAATGTGGCATGCATCGCGACGGAGACGTTTTATTTGATGCTGGAAATCATGGCGATGGTGAGAGAGAAACTTTGAGGACAGAATTTTTGAGAGAGTTTTTGGCGATGCTTGTGTGAGGAAACTTACAGGTGCGAAGGTCGACGCTCCGCCCATGAATCCGGCGAGCGACCTTGAAGCGAAAGATGCAATCAGGAAAGCTACTGCGAGGGTTTTATAGTAGTTGTGAGCCATGGGTGTGGCTGGCGATGGCTGTAAGAAAAAATAGTAGTTAGAGAATTCAGAAATCCTAGTAGCTACTCAAGTCGTGAGAAATTGGGTTGTGATTCAATGAAATGCAGTGGAGCAATTTATGTGCTTCAGATTTTGGAATTTCGCGCTTCGTGTTTTTGGCGGCATGTGGGGAAGGGAAGACAATGTTGTTCCTTTGTGGCATAAGGGTAACATGCTGCGTTGCGAAGACTGGCATCTTACAGGGGTCAGCAAGGGCGGGGCTTGACAAGGATGACGGATTGGTTGCGACTTCCGAATGATCTCGCGCAAATCTCTCGCTTGTTACGATGGACAGTACTTGCTTCACCGATTGGTTCGCGAACTCCGTCTTCAGCCGCGGCACGGCACTTACTGGGCAGTAACACCCGTACAGGCAGTGCTTGGTCGGTGGTTACTAAATGCGCGACTCGAGTTGGAGGAATCTTTCGAAATGGAATCCTCCCATTATGCTGCAAGCAACTCCGACAACATACGCGCTCCCATCGTCAGCGCAGATGCGACAACGTGACAAACATCCAGTGTGCACAAATAGCAGATTTTAGTTATTTTCATGGTATTAGTGTGCAATTGAACTAGTTAGTGAAGATTTCACTAAGGAGTACAAATGTTAGTGAACATTCAGGGCGTTCCTCTTTTATCTGCTTATGCTGAAACCCTAAAATATCATACGAATCTTGCAATATAGCTGAATCTGGAATGCTAAAAACAAGATTTTGTTTCGATCATGTTGGGTTGAGAAAATGCCTTAAGATAATTTAGAGTTTAGTCATTGTAATATTGTGCTGCCGAAGACAGGAAAGAAAATAAATACAAGATATTTATGAAGCGGTATAATCATGTGTCACGCGAACAGTCGCGAGACTGTTCGCACTACTACCTATAACTCACACGAAGGGACACCTGCTATAGTAACATGCGCATATTATGATACTACTATAATACTGTAGCGTTTATATTATTGAACTACTGAATCGCATAAGTCAAACTTCTTTTCCCAACACTCCCCTTCAATTCTGGAGTTTGATGTTGTCGTTGGTGAGTCCAGTAAGCATCATGCAGTACTGAAATTTCGGGCGCGGCAGACGCTTGGTCAAGAAGTCCGCGGGCGTTTCGCTCGTGTGACAGTAACCGAGCTGTAACTTGCCTTGCTCGATTTCGTCCTTTGACGAAAAAAAGTAACGAAGCGAGATATGCTTGGTTTGATTGGCGAACCCAGATCTGTTCGCAATGCGGATTGCGGACAGATTGTCGCAGAAGAGCTGAAACTATGATAGGTCCAGTAACTTTGCTTCGCTAAGCAACTCCCGAATGTAAAAACCTTCCTTCGTAGCGGTGCAAACAGCAATGAACTCCGCCTCAGCTGATGAGGGTGCAATCAGCTCCTGCTTGTACGACTGCCAGGAGATTGTACCAACGGGCTCAAGGCAAAAAATATAGGCCGTACGTGAGTGTCTGTTTGCAGTATCACCCGCGCGATATGCGCCTACATAGCCGAGTAGAGAGAGCGGCGACTTCGGCGACTTGTGATACGTGAGTCCGACAGTAGACGTAGATACGAAATAGGAGATTGCGGCTTCCAGTTCCCGTAGGTTCTCCCCTACAGGTCGCTTAAGAAATTGAGCGAGCTGGCTAGTCGGATAGGCCAAATCCGGACGACAGGTCACAGCTGCGAATAGAAGACTACCGAGGAGTTGCTGATAGCGAGTAACACCAGTAGATGAAAGAGGCTCGGATTCAGCTGCTTGAGTCGAACGGAACGGAGTGTCGGAGGTAGTGATCGGTAGCGGAAAGCGCTTCAGCAACTTCTCAGCGTACTTGTCGTCGGAGAGATGAATAGCAGTTGATGTCTCGGTGATGTTTAGGCCAAGATACTGAGTAACGTTGGTCGAAATCGTAATCGTGAGATTTGTTTTCAGCTCCCCTTCAAAGTAAGAAATGATGTCGGGAGTGCTGCCGATGTAGAGTAAGTCATCGACGTAGACGACGAGAAGCACGAATGTAGCTTCCCGGTCCAGTCGATACATGGTCATGGGGTAGTTGGCGAAAGCCGATGAGGATGAGACGCTCATGGAGATGCTGTTGCCAGAGACGCGGTGTCTGTTTAATCCCGTAGAGAGATTTATTAAGGCAGCAGACCATAGAAGGATCGTTAATGTAACCGTGAGGCTGCTCGACGAGGATAGTGCGTCGACGAGAGCATAAAGAAACGCCGTTGAAACATCGATATGGCGAAGCTTAAGACCCAATGCTGTTGCGAAGGCGAGTAGAATCCGAAGCGAAGTATGCCGACTAACAGGAGCGAAAGTCGCGCCGTAGTACACGCCCTGCTTTTGATCAAACCCGCGAACAACCCAGCGAGCCTTGAAACGCTCGATCGTTCCGTCAGCATTCGTCTTAATAGGGAAGACCCACTCCCCAGAGAGAACGTTCTTCCCTGGAACCGTCGAAATGGGGATTAAATCCCAGGTGGTGTTATCGTGTAGCGCCTTCAGCTCCTTATCCATGGTTTCGCGCCATTTCTCCCTGTGAGGTCCTTTCAGCGCCTGATCAAAGGTTTTCGGTTCGGTTGGAAGAGGTGGTTGAGCTGCTACAGCAAGCCCCAGTATCTGTAACCCAGTCTGTTGATAACAAGTCTGCTCCTCGGTCTCGTTAGTTGCAGCTTCGTCACCAGTTTCAGGATCGAAGTTAAAACCAGAACCCAACCGTTCGATTTGGTTAGAAGCAACGGGAAGCAGTGTAGTCGCTCCGTTATCAGCGAACTCGTTATAAGCTTCGTCGTTGATATCATTGTGAGGATCTTCCTCATCGATCTCGATCGAAACAGAACAGTAAGGGGCGGCACCGGCAGCTGCTGACGCACCTGAGACAGCTTCCTCCACCGCGTCAGCCTCGTCGGCTTCTGTAGCGAAGGTACGTGTACCAGAAAACCCAGCTGTCAAATCTTCGCGGTTGGCATGCTGCCTCTGCCAAGTGTTGTAAGTAAGTCACTCGTGGAAGAGTACGTCGCGTGCTGGAACAGTGACACCTGTTTCGACGTTCCAAATTTTCACATGCTGCAAATTGTTTCTCGATGCCGAAGTGTATCCCCCATCGTGCCCTTTGTGAAAACCGTCCCGCAGGACCGCGTACTGCAATCGCGCACAACAGATTCTTGCAGATCTGCGTATGGCTGGCGTGGACTACGCAATGTCTTCGTATGACACGCATGTCATCAAAGGTTTACCTGCAATCCTTCGGCGCATGGTGAAACTCCCAGGTGTACGCGAAGAGCTCGATGACGATACGCTTTCGAGCTACATCATTGAAGAGGAGTTCACACTTGAATCCGAGCAGCGCGAGGAGCAGCTTCTCCCTCAAGTCAACTATGTCGCGTCGAAGCAGCAACGTCAGCAACAGAAGTGGGGGAAATCGCGCGGAGGAGGCGACTATGACAAAAAACGTCGACCGCGCAAAGACGACCAAGAGGGACGAGCGTTCCGGTGGCGGAAAGCGCAACTCTCAACGATACTGCTTTGTTTGTGGAGATCCCGAGCACAGAATAGTGGAAAACTAGGAGATCGTAAACTCTCCTGCTCTCATACCATGTTGGGCTGAGAAAATGCCTTAGGATCTTTTAGAGCTTAGTCCTTGTAATATTATGCAGCGGAAGAGTGGAATTCTTGTGCTAGTCAAATGTGAGAACAAGAATTGATAATAAATAAAAAGTACAAGATTTTTTTAGTCTAGGAAAGTACATATTCAGAGATGTAACTATTCATGAAGCGGGGTGGCAGGGTCGTTGAGGGGGGCTTTGGGGCAGGCCTGGGGGTTGGCGGGCTGGAGGAGGGAGTCGTGGATGTAGGCCACCTCGATGCAGATGAGGCACAGCGGGTTCGTCTCCACGTGGAACAGGCGGTACCCCAGACTCTCAAACGTGTACAGCAGCGCCAGCATCGCCTTGGTGTTCGTGATCCTGCCATGCCAGTCAGAGAGGGAGCCGAGGGGAGGAGGGAATAGAAGGCTGGTGAGAGGGGAGGCGTAACACAGGAATGGCTGCAATTGCAGTAAAGAAGAAGCCGATGGAGAGGATGGGAAAGACAAGGGGCATAGGGTGCAGGAGATTGAGATTGTGGAGGAACAAAAACCACAAGAAACAGAAAAAGGGAAGGAGATGGCTATGTTTGGACGGAAGGGTTTCCCCAACAACCCACCTTGCCGATGACAGCGGGGTCACCAAAGCAGTCGAGCACGTCGTCCTGCATCTGACAGTACGTCCCCATCACCACCAGGATCTCCCTCGCCTGTGCTGCCAGTGCTGCGTCCTCCACTCCTGCCAGGATCAACGCCGTTGCCACCTGGAGAGGGGCGGTGGGGGGAGGAGAAGGGGCAAGGGCGGGGTCACACGGCTGTGGTGTGGCAACTGGCCGTGTAGCCTTTGCACTGCTAATGATGCGTCCTCCACGTGCGCCCCATCAGAGGCGCCGGAGAGAGGAGACGTGCGGGCACGGGAGGAGACGCTTTTGAGAAAGCCTCCAAAGCCCGCCCGCCCGCCAGCCAGCCAGCATCAGCGCGGTAACCACCTGGGTGGGAGTGAGAAAAGGGTGAGTGCATGGTTGACACGAGGTTGTGAGATGCGTTGTTTCTTTTTATTTCTTTCTTTCTTTTTGCTACCTCCTCTCGCGAGCGTTTTTGTAGAAAAAAACGTGCGTGGGCGGCGGGAGGGATGAGATGAGAACCCAGAACATGCTTACAGGGATGCGGTGAGGACGGACAGGAGGGAGGGAGAAAGGAAGACGCTTACAGGGAGGTAGAAGGAGTAGTAGGCTGTCTCGTACTGCACGATCTGAATATTGAGTCGACTCAAAAGTCAGCTCGAGGAAAAGTATCATTGCAGGGAGAGAGAAAGGAAGACGCTTACAGGGAGGTAGAAGGAGTAGTATGCCGTCTTGTACTGCACAATCTTTAGGTAGCTGGGAGGGAGAACAAGGGGCAGGGGAAACAAATGGGGGAAGAGTTGGGGAAGGGAGAGAGGAGGGGCGGGGGAAGAGTGGGATGGAAAGGAGGGGACGGACGTCAGGAGAAGTTGTAAGGAAGAAGGGACGGATGGTGGACGGATGAAAGGAACGGATTTTGTGGTATCTTGCCACCATATAGCCATGTGGACATGATGCATTACAGTATACCCGCATGGACGTGGTGCGATGCCACAGTATACCCCCGTGGAGATGGTGTATCCCTACGGTATACCCACGTGGACATGGTGTATTTGTTGAGATCCACCTCCCCTTCGGGAGTGGTGATGAGGTCCAGCATCTGCCCACACGCTGTCTGGTATGTCACCTGCAGAGGAGGAAGATTGGAGGGGGAAGAGGGGAGAGGAAGGGGTAAGAGGGGAACAGACAGATGGAAGGAGTGGTGATGAGGTCAAGCATCTGCCCACACGCTGTCTGGTATGTCACCTGCAGAGGGGCGGGTTGGGAGGAATAAAAAGGAGGGCGGGAGGAGGGTGGGAGGAGGGCGGGAGGAGGGGGGAGGAGGGGGGAGGAGGGGATAAGACGGGTACAAACAGAAGGCGTGGAGACGTGGAACATCTGCCCACATGTAGGTCCCGTTATACATGGGCAACGAGGCGAGTTTTTCGCCTCGGCTCGTACGAGGCACTCGTTCGAGGGCGAGTGACGAGTGTGCTTTTCCTTGGAAATAGCTCATCCGAGCCGAGCCGAGTTTAACTCGGCGAGCTTTTTAAACTCGCCGAGCACTCGTTGCGCTGACGAGCTTTTTGGGAAACTCGTACGTGAGCATAAGAAAGTACGTGAATGTATATGGTAACGAGCCGAGCTTCCCTCGGCTCGTCCGAGCTTTCCTTGAAGCTCGGACGAGCTTTTGAAAAGCTCGTGCTATTTAGCCGAGTCACGAGCTTGCATTTGCCCGGAAAAAGCCCGTACGAGCAAAACTCGGCTCGGAACAAAGCTTGTACGAGTGTGCCTGGGGACGAGCCGAGTAAAACTCGGCTCGGCTCATTGCCCATGTATAGGTCCCGTGCAGAGGAGGCAAGGGGGAGGGAGGGAGGCGGGAGGGGGGAGGAGCAGAATAAATAAATGGAAGGCGTGGTGATGAGGACGAGCATCTATCCACACAGGGAAGGAAGGGAGGGGGGAAATGCAAGAACAGGGAGTTGGGAGAACGGGAGAAGGAGCAGCGTACCTCGTTAAAGAGGTCGAGCAGGCAGGTGTAGGCAGGGTGGGAGGAGAAGTGGCAGCACAGCTTTGAGGCGCCTCAAAAGGGAAGGTGGTGGGGGGGAGGAGCAGCGTACCTCATTAAACAGGTCAAGCAGGCGGGTGTAGGCGGGATGGAAGGAGAAGTGGCGGCGCAGGATGAGGAAGATGTGTGAGTTGAGCAGCACACCATCGTTGATGGCGATCATTCCCACCTGTAGGCAGGCAGGCATGGGTGCATGGGTGAACGCATGGGTGCATGGGTGAACGCATGGGTGCATGGGTGAACGCAGGGTGCATGGGTGAACGCAGGGTGGCACCCTCTCTTCCACTAGCTTGCTGCATGGCATGATGCAAGCGGTGAAGGGAGCATGTGCTTTGTTCGTAAAGCGATGACTTACTCCTTTCCCTCTCTTTCCCACTCCTTCACTCTCCTTCCCATTCCTTTCCCTTTGCTTTCCTTCTGCCCTGCCATTGCTCTGCCACTCTCCTCTTCTCCCCGTCTGCTCGGCTAAGTGTGCCGTGCAGGCTGCAGCAGGGCAGCGGGGCGCCATGGAGGGGAGGACATGGGCGCCCTCCTACCACACGCGCCATAGGGCGAGTGGATGCTGGGCTCTATGGCACTCTCCATGCGCCCTGCCACCACACGCGCCACTCATCCACCCCTCCTTCCCTCCTTCTTGGGCCTCCGACTTGCTGCTGCAGCTGGGGTGACTGCTGCAGCATGAGCACTACATGGGCTCTCACCACTCAGCAGGAGCTACATTAGCCTCTAGTGGAGGCGACAAGGCAATAAGAGTTGACAAAGGCTGTCTTGGACCTCAAGTTATTTACCATATAATACATAAACGTTCTCACACCCACCAGTGTTGCAAAAGAGGGACCATCACAAATATCCATACATGACCAATGCTATCATTATTGAATATATAGTACCTCACACTGATTAGGGTATTTTGATAAGTAACTTGCTACGCGATGTTATGATACGGCAAGGGCCCACATCACACTATCCTAAATCTAACTAGCTTGTCTGCTTGGTTGCTTCATGCCTGACGAGCTGCACCACGGAAGAGAGAACAGGGAGGGAAGAGAGATCAGGGAGGGAAGAGAGATCAGGGAGGGAAGAGAGATCAGGGAGGGAAGAGAGAGCAGGGAGGGAAGAGAGAGCAGGGAGGGAAGAGAGAGCAGGGAGGGAAGAGAGAGCAGGGAGGGAAGAGAGAGCAGGGAGGGAAGAGAGAGCAGGGATGGATGACAGAGCAGGGAGGGAAGAGAGAGCAGGGAGGGAACAGAGAGCAGGGAGGGAAGAGAGAGCAGGGAGGGAAGAGAGATCAGGGAGGGAAGAGAGAGCAGGGAGGGAAGAGAGAGCAGGGAGGGAAGAGAGAGCAGGGAGGGAAGAGAGAGCAGGGAGGGAAGAGAGAGCAGGGAGGGAAGAGAGAGCAGGGATGGATGACAGAGCAGGGAGGGAAGAGAGAGCAGGGAGGGAACAGAGAGCAGGGAGGGAAGAGAGAGCAGGGAGGGAAGAGAGATCAGGGAGGGAAGAGAGAGCAGGGAGGGAAGAGAGATCAGGGAGGGAAGAGAGAGCAGGGAGGGTAGAGAGATCAGGGAGGGAAGAGAGAGCAGGGAGGGAAGAGAGATCAGGGAGGGAAGAGAGAGCAGGGAGGGTAGAGAGATCAGGGAGGGAAGAGAGATCAGGGAGGGAAGAGAGAGCAGGGAGGGAAGAGAGATCAGGGAGGGAAGAGAGAGCAGGGAGGGAAGAGAGATCATGGAGGGAAGAGAGAGCAGGGAGGGAAGAGAGAGCAGGGAGGGTAGAGAGATCAGGGAGGGAAGAGAGATCAGGGAGGGAAGAGAGAGCAGGGAGGGAAGAGAGATCAGGGGGGAAACAAGGGGTAAGCGGGGGGGAAACAAAGGGTAAGAAGGGAAGAACAGAGGGTAAGCAGGGGGGAAGCAGTGCATAAGCAGGGGGAAAATATGGGGGTGGCTGGCTCTCAACGAGGTGATTACCGCATGCTATTCCCCCGTGCCTGCTTGCATGCTATCCCCCCGCGCCTGCTCGCATGCTATTCCCCCGCGCCTGCTCGCATGCTATCCCCCCGCGCCTGCTCGCATGCTATTCCCCCGCGCCTGCTCGCATGCCAGCCACCCGCGCCTGCTCGCATGCTATTCCCACGCGCCTGCTCGCATGATATCCCCCCGCGCCTGCTCGCATGCTATCCCCCCGCGCCTGCTCGCATGCTATTCCCCCGCGCCTGCTCGCATGCTATCCCCCCGCGCCTGCTCACATGCTATTCCCCCGCACCTACTCGCATCTGACCTCCCTCGCATATCGCGGCTTACCCCGTTGCAAATTCTGGCTCCCATCCCCCTCGCACCTCCGCGTCATCGGAGCCCATTCCCGTCCGCGTCGCCAGACCGCGTCGCTGCTCACACCCGGCCGCTCGCCTCACGTAATCGCGGCAGCTCCCAGCGCGCGCCCCGCACGTGTTCGCGGCACACACCCCACCGCCACTCGCGCAATATCGCGACTCACTCCGGTCCGCGGCTCGCACCTCCTCGCTGCAGACTTCAGTTTGTGTTACGTATTTTCTTATACTGAATCCCGTCTCGCGCCCGGAGAATAAATTTTCGCCAGACAAATTTTAGTACCACAGTGGTAGAAAGCTGGAGCTAAAGCGCTATGAGGAGTGGATCGTAATACTGAAATGCAGGAAAATGAGCTTGGTGGGAGTGCTACATGGAAAGCGAGAGGACGACGGTAAAGCTCGCGGCTCAGAGGAGAGGAGAACGCGGCGATATGGCGAGCAGATATCTGGCGACGAGACCAGCTGATCTAAGGCGATGAGGCGAACAGATCTTAGGCGAGGAGGTGAACCACCGTGGTTAGGCAACGAATTTTCCTAACAGTGACTGTTAGGCGAGGCGGCGCTCTGATATCTGGAAACGAGAACAGGGCAGAACGCGACGGTGTGTTTGACTGCGCTGGTAATCCGCGGCCGACGCGGCCTAAATCGCTATTGCGATCGAGGTGTAGGTACCGGAAGCAAGTTTGATTCCGTGGCGACTATAATCTTCGGAATCACTAGGGGTCTATCGAGTGAGCTTTGGCAATCATTGTCGGGAGAGTTTTGGTCTACAAACCATCATGCGGGTCAAGTTATAATCTGGCGAACTTGTTTCGGCTGTTGGTTTGCTCAACCCCACCCCCCTCCCTCCTTTCGACTTTCGTTTCTCTGCAAAGGGGTACTTGGAGGGACTGGGTTACCCTGTTTTCAAGTGATAAACCTTTGCCTCCCGCTTGAGGTATGTAGACCGCAGCTTTAATAATTGCGTCATGTTGACAAATATTCCCCCCTTCTCCTCCTTCCTCGCTGATTTAAACTAGCATCCCTTTACCAAGCTGACACCAACTACCCTCTCATCACCATGCAACGGCATCTAGCACCACTACTACCCCCATGCACCACCCCCACCCCTTCTCCTGCAAAGTCGTCAGCACCAACTTCTCTTCACACTGGCTCGCCGTGTTGCTTACTGTCTTCCAAGCTTCTACGCAGCAATAGCATTAACCATGGTAATGGACGGGTTCCTCCAACCAGCAGGCACCGCGTTGAACCCATACCCACCCTTTGCCAGCTTCCCAATCATGAACTGCATGAACGCCTTGGCAATCTTCCCGCCAGTCACGCCCGTCAGCGACTTGCGGATGAACCCAAACTCCATGGAAACCATCGCAGGGGTCTTGGCTCCGGCCTTCCAGATGAAGTCCACGCTGCTCCAGGACCCGTCGGCTGCGGGAGGCGCGCCCACGAGCGCCGTCCCGGGGGTCCACGAGGGCGGCCCGACGGCGACGCCATTGGCGTTCTTGAGCGCGGCGATCACGCGCTTCGGGTTGTTGGGCTTCCTGGCGTTGTAAGGCACGACGCTGCATCCGCCGGTGAACGCGTAACCGATGGCGCCCTTGGTCTTGAGCACGGCGGCGCACACGGCGCTCGTGCCCTCTACCTTGGTGACGCCGGCGTAAGTCAGGGCTGTGCCGTCCGTGCCGCCGCTGTACCCGGACACGGCCTTAGACCACATGGTCTTGACAATGGCGGTACTTCCGGACTTGTCGCTGCGCCCCACGGCGGTGATGGCGCCCGCGACCTTGCCCACCGCGCCGGGAACGGCGGACCACGCGGTGATCGCGCCGCTGTAGATCTGGAACGTCTGGGTGGCCGTCAGAACGATGCCAGGCTTTCCGTTGACGAAGAAGCTGAAGGTGGAGACGCAGAGAGGCACGGTGATCTTGCCGCTGGCGACGACGCCTCCCTCTTGCGCGGCGGTCATGGGATCATCGGAGACGGCAATGAGGTAGGTGCCGCCGTTGAATCCGGTGATTCCGGCGCCTGATCCCACCGAGTCGTATGCAACGACGTCCTGGGAGATTCCCGGCTTGGCCGCGTTCCATGCCTTGATGATCGCCCCGCCAGCCTGGAAATGTGGCATGCATTGCGACGGAGACGTTTTATTTGATGCTGGAAATCATGGCGATGGTGAGAGAGAAACTTTGAGGACAGAATTTTTGAGAGAGTTTTTGGCGATGCTTGTGTGAGGAAACTTACAGGTGCGAAGGTCGACGCTCCGCCCATGAATCCGGCGAGCGACCTTGAAGCGAAAGATGCAATCAGGAAAGCTACTGCGAGGGTTTTATAGTAGTTGTGAGCCATGGGTGTGGCTGGCGATGGCTGTAAGAAAAAATAGTAGTTAGAGAATTCAGAAATCCTAGTAGCTACTCAAGTCGTGAGAAATTGGGTTGTGATTCAATGAAATGCAGTGGAGCAATTTATGTGCTTCAGATTTTGGAATTTCGCGCTTCGTGTTTTTGGCGGCATGTGGGGAAGGGAAGACAATGTTGTTCCTTTGTGGCATAAGGGTAACATGCTGCGTTGCGAAGACTGGCATCTTACAGGGGTCAGCAAGGGCGGGGCTTGACAAGGATGACGGATTGGTTGCGACTTCCGAATGATCTCGCGCAAATCTCTCGCTTGTTACGATGGACAGTACTTGCTTCACCGATTGGTTCGCGAACTCCGTCTTCAGCCGCGGCACGGCACTTACTGGGCAGTAACACCCGTACAGGCAGTGCTTGGTCGGTGGTTACTAAATGCGCGACTCGAGTTGGAGGAATCTTTCGAAATGGAATCCTCCCATTATGCTGCAAGCAACTCCGACAACATACGCGCTCCCATCGTCAGCGCAGATGCGACAACGTGACAAACATCCAGTGTGCACAAATAGCAGATTTTAGTTATTTTCATGGTATTAGTGTGCAATTGAACTAGTTAGTGAAGATTTCACTAAGGAGTACAAATGTTAGTGAACATTCAGGGCGTTCCTCTTTTATCTGCTTATGCTGAAACCCTAAAATATCATACGAATCTTGCAATATAGCTGAATCTGGAATGCTAAAAACAAGATTTTGTTTCGATCATGTTGGGTTGAGAAAATGCCTTAAGATAATTTAGAGTTTAGTCATTGTAATATTGTGCTGCCGAAGACAGGAAAGAAAATAAATACAAGATATTTATGAAGCGGTATAATCATGTGTCACGCGAACAGTCGCGAGACTGTTCGCACTACTACCTATAACTCACACGAAGGGACACCTGCTATAGTAACATGCGCATATTATGATACTACTATAATACTGTAGCGTTTATATTATTGAACTACTGAATCGCATAAGTCAAACTTCTTTTCCCAACACTCCCCTTCAATTCTGGAGTTTGATGTTGTCGTTGGTGAGTCCAGTAAGCATCATGCAGTACTGAAATTTCGGGCGCGGCAGACGCTTGGTCAAGAAGTCCGCGGGCGTTTCGCTCGTGTGACAGTAACCGAGCTGTAACTTGCCTTGCTCGATTTCGTCCTTTGACGAAAAAAAGTAACGAAGCGAGATATGCTTGGTTTGATTGGCGAACCCAGATCTGTTCGCAATGCGGATTGCGGACAGATTGTCGCAGAAGAGCTGAAACTATGATAGGTCCAGTAACTTTGCTTCGCTAAGCAACTCCCGAATGTAAAAACCTTCCTTCGTAGCGGTGCAAACAGCAATGAACTCCGCCTCAGCTGATGAGGGTGCAATCAGCTCCTGCTTGTACGACTGCCAGGAGATTGTACCAACGGGCTCAAGGCAAAAAATATAGGCCGTACGTGAGTGTCTGTTTGCAGTATCACCCGCGCGATATGCGCCTACATAGCTGAGTAGAGAGAGCGGCGACTTCGGCGACTTGTGATACGTGAGTCCGACAGTAGACGTAGATACGAAATAGGAGATTGCGGCTTCCAGTTCCCGTAGGTTCTCCCCTACAGGTCGCTTAAGAAATTGAGCGAGCTGGCTAGTCGGATAGGCCAAATCCGGACGACAGGTCACAGCTGCGAATAGAAGACTACCGAGGAGTTGCTGATAGCGAGTAACACCGGTAGATGAAAGAGGCTCGGATTCAGCTGCTTGAGTCGAACGGAACGGAGTGTCGGAGGTAGTGATCGGTAGCGGAAAGCGCTTCAGCAACTTCTCAGCGTACTTGTCGTCGGAGAGATGAATAGCAGTTGATGTCTCGGTGATGTTTAGGCCAAGATACTGAGTAACGTTGGTCGAAATCGTAATCGTGAGATTTGTTTTCAGCTCCCCTTCAAAGTAAGAAATGATGTCGGGAGTGCTGCCGATGTATAGTAAATCATCGACGTAGACGACGAGAAGCACGAATGTAGCTTCCCGGTCCAGTCGATACATGGTCATGGGGTAGTTGGCGAAAGCCGATGAGGATGAGACGCTCATGGAGATGCTGTTGCCAGAGACGCGGTGTCTGTTTAATCCCGTAGAGAGATTTATTAAGGCAGCAGACCATAGAAGGATCGTTAATGTAACCGTGAGGCTGCTCGACGAGGATAGTGCGTCGACGAGAGCATAAAGAAACGCCGTTGAAACATCGATATGGCGAAGCTTAAGACCCAATGCTGTTGCGAAGGCGAGTAGAATCCGAAGCGAAGTATGCCGACTAACAGGAGCGAAAGTCGCGCCGTAGTACACGCCCTGCTTTTGATCAAACCCGCGAACAACCCAGCGAGCCTTGAAACGCTCGATCGTTCCGTCAGCATTCGTCTTAATAGGGAAGACCCACTCCCCAGAGAGAACGTTCTTCCCTGGAACCGTCGAAATGGGGATTAAATCCCAGGTGGTGTTATCGTGTAGCGCCTTCAGCTCCTTATCCATGGTTTCGCGCCATTTCTCCCGGTGAGGTCCTTTCAGCGCCTGATCAAAGGTTTTCGGTTCGGTTGGAAGAGGTGGTTGAGCTGCTACAGCAAGCCCCAATATCTGTAACCCAGTCTGTTGATAACAAGTCTGCTCCTCGGTCTCGTTAGTTGCAGCTTCGTCACCAGTTTCAGGATCGAAGTTAAAACCAGAACCCAACCGTTCGATTTGTTTAGAAGCAACGGGAAGCAGTGTAGTCGCTCCGTTATCAGCGAACTCGTTATAAGCCTCGGCGTTGATATCGTTGTGAGGATCTTCCTCATCGATCTCGATCGAAACAGAACAGTAAGGGGCGGCACCGGCAGCTGCTGACGCACCTGAGACAGCTTCCTCCACCACGTCAGCCTCGTCGGCTTCTGTAGCGAAGGTACGTGTACCAGAAAACCCAGCTGTCAAATTTTCGCGGTTGGCATGCTGCCTCTGCCAAGTGTTGTAAGTAAGTCACTCGTGGAAGAGTACGTCGCGTGCTGGAACAGTGACACCTGTTTCGACGTTCCAAATTTTCACATGCTGCAAATTGTTTCTCGATGCCGAAGTGTATCCCCCATCGTGCCCTTTGTGAAAACCGTCCCGCAGGACCGCGTACTGCAATCGCGCACAACAGATTCTTGCAGATCTGCGTATGGCTGGCGTGGACTACGCAATGTCTTCGTATGACACGCATGTCATCAAAGGTTTACCTGCAATCCTTCGGCGCATGGTGAAACTCCCAGGTGTACGCGAAGAGCTCGATGACGATACGCTTTCGAGCTACATCATTGAAGAGGAGTTCACACTTGAATCCGAGCAGCGCGAGGAGCAGCTTCTCCCTCAAGTCAACTATGTCGCGTCGAAGCAGCAACGTCAGCAACAGAAGTGGGGGAAATCGCGCGGAGGAGGCGACTATGACAAAAAACGTCGACCGCGCAAAGACGACCAAGAGGGACGAGCGTTCCGGTGGCGGAAAGCGCAACTCTCAACGATACTGCTTTGTTTGTGGAGATCCCGAGCACAGAATAGTGGAAAACTAGGAGATCGTAAACTCTCCTGCTCTCATACCATGTTGGGCTGAGAAAATGCCTTAGGATCTTTTAGAGCTTAGTCCTTGTAATATTATGCAGCGGAAGAGTGGAATTCTTGTGCTAGTCAAATGTGAGAACAAGAATTGATAATAAATAAAAAGTACAAGATTTTTTTAGTCTAGGAAAGTACATATTCAGAGATGTAACTATTCATGAAGCGGGGTGGCAGGGTCGTTGAGGGGGGCTTTGGGGCAGGCCTGGGGGTTGGCGGGCTGGAGGAGGGAGTCGTGGATGTAGGCCACCTCGATGCAGATGAGGCACAGCGGGTTCGTCTCCACGTGGAACAGGCGGTACCCCAGACTCTCAAACGTGTACAGCAGCGCCAGCATCGCCTTGGTGTTCGTGATCCTGCCATGCCAGTCAGAGAGGGAGCCGAGGGGAGGAGGGAATAGAAGGCTGGTGAGAGGGGAGGCGTAACACAGGAATGGCTGCAATTGCAGTAAAGAAGAAGCCGATGGAGAGGATGGGAAAGACAAGGGGCATAGGGTGCAGGAGATTGAGATTGTGGAGGAACAAAAACCACAAGAAACAGAAAAAGGGAAGGAGATGGCTATGTTTGGACGGAAGGGTTTCCCCAACAACCCACCTTGCCGATGACAGCGGGGTCACCAAAGCAGTCGAGCACGTCGTCCTGCATCTGACAGTACGTCCCCATCACCACCAGGATCTCCCTCGCCTGTGCTGCCAGTGCTGCGTCCTCCACTCCTGCCAGGATCAACGCCGTTGCCACCTGGAGAGGGGCGGTGGGGGGAGGAGAAGGGGCAAGGGCGGGGTCACACGGCTGTGGTGTGGCAACTGGCCGTGTAGCCTTTGCACTGCTAATGATGCGTCCTCCACGTGCGCCCCATCAGAGGCGCCGGAGAGAGGAGACGCGCGGGCACGGGAGGAGACGCTTTTGAGAAAGCCTCCAAAGCCCGCCCGCCCGCCAGCCAGCCAGCATCAGCGCGGTAACCACCTGGGTGGGAGTGAGAAAAGGGTGAGTGCATGGTTGACACGAGGTTGTGAGATGCGTTGTTTCTTTTTATTTCTTTCTTTCTTTTTGCTACCTCCTCTCGCGAGCGTTTTTGTAGAAAAAAACGTGCGTGGGCGGCGGGAGGGATGAGATGAGAACCCAGAACATGCTTACAGGGATGCGGTGAGGACGGACAGGAGGGAGGGAGAAAGGAAGACGCTTACAGGGAGGTAGAAGGAGTAGTAGGCTGTCTCGTACTGCACGATCTGAATATTGAGTCGACTCAAAAGTCAGCTCGAGGAAAAGTATCATTGCAGGGAGAGAGAAAGGAAGACGCTTACAGGGAGGTAGAAGGAGTAGTATGCCGTCTTGTACTGCACAATCTTTAGGTAGCTGGGAGGGAGAACAAGGGGCAGGGGAAACAAATGGGGGAAGAGTTGGGGAAGGGAGAGAGGAGGGGCGAGGGAAGAGTGGGATGGAAAGGAGGGGGACGGACGTCAGGAGAAGTTGTAAGGAAGAAGGGACGGATGGTGGACGGATGAAAGGAACGGATTTTGTGGTATCTTGCCACCATATAGCCATGTGGACATGATGCATTACAGTATACCCGCATGGACGTGGTGCGATGCCACAGTATACCCCCGTGGAGATGTCAGAATCCCAACCACTAGACCATTGGGATAAAAGGGCTTGTTAAGTAGCGGGTGAGTGCGCCCATAACCCCCCAGGACAACGAGCCTGTAACCCTTCCCTAGGATCAATCGAGGATCACCAGTGGACCTCTGACACCCCCCCGCACTGGGATGCCCGAAGTGCACACACTGGGATTCGAACCCGAGACCTTCGCTCTGATACCATGTCAGAATCCCAACCACTAGACCATTGGGATAAAAGGGCTTGTTAAGTAGCGGGTCAGTGCGCCCATAACCCCCCAGGACAACGAGCCTGTAACCCTTCCCTAGGATCAATCGGGGATCACCAGTGGACCTCTGACAGGAGATGGTGTATCCCTACGGTATACCCCCGTGGACATGGTGTATTTGTTGAGATCCACCTCCCCTTCGGGAGTGGTGATGAGGTCCAGCATCTGCCCACACGCTGTCTGGTATGTCACCTGCAGAGGAGGAAGATTGGAGGGGGAAGAGGGGAGAGGAAGGGGTAAGAGGGGAATAGACAGATGGAAGGAGTGGTGATGAGGTCAAGCATCTGCCCACACGCTGTCTGGTATGTCACCTGCAGAGGGGCGGGTTGGGAGGAATAAAAAGGAGGGTGGGAGGAGGGCGGGAGGAGGGCGGGAGGAGGGGGGAGGAGGGGGGAGGAGGGGATAAGACGGGTACAAACAGAAGGCGTGGAGACGTGGAACATCTGCCCACATGTAGGTCCCGTTATACATGGGCAACGAGGCGAGTTTTTCGCCTCGGCTCGTACGAGGCACTCGTTCGAGGGCGAGTGACGAGTGTGCTTTTCCTTGGAAATAGCTCATCCGAGCCGAGCCGAGTTTAACTCGGCGAGCTTTTTAAACTCGCCGAGCACTCGTTGCGCTGACGAGCTTTTTGGGAAACTCGTACGTGAGCATAAGAAAGTACGTGAATGTATATGGTAACGAGCCGAGCTTCCCTCGGCTCGTCCGAGCTTTCCTTGAAGCTCGGACGAGCTTTTGAAAAGCTCGTGCTATTTAGCCGAGTCACGAGCTTGCATTTGCCCGAAAAAAGCTCGTACGAGCAAAACTCGGCTCGGAACAAAGCTTGTACGAGTGTGCCTGGGGACGAGCCGAGTAAAACTCGGCTCGGCTCATTGCCCATGTATAGGTCCCGTGCAGAGGAGGCAAGGGGGAGGGAGGGAGGCGGGAGGGGGGAGGAGCAGAATAAATAAATGGAAGGCGTGGTGATGAGGACGAGCATCTATCCACACAGGGAAGGAAGGGAGGGGGGAAATGCAAGAACAGGGAGTTGGGAGAACGGGAGAAGGAGCAGCGTACCTCGTTAAAGAGGTCGAGCAGGCAGGTGTAGGCAGGGTGGGAGGAGAAGTGGCAGCACAGCTTTGAGGCGCCTCAAAAGGGAAGGTGGTGGGGGGGAGGAGCAGCGTACCTCATTAAACAGGTCAAGCAGGCGGGTGTAGGCGGGATGGAAGGAGAAGTGGCGGCGCAGGATGAGGAAGATGTGTGAGTTGAGCAGCACACCATCGTTGATGGCGATCATTCCCACCTGTAGGCAGGCAGGCATGGGTGCATGGGTGAACGCATGGGTGCATGGGTGAACGCATGGGTGCATGGGTGAACGCAGGGTGCATGGGTGAACGCAGGGTGGCACCCTCTCTTCCACTAGCTTGCTGCATGGCATGATGCAAGCGGTGAAGGGAGCATGTGCTTTGTTCGTAAAGCGATGACTTACTCCTTTCCCTCTCTTTCCCACTCCACTCTCCTTCCCATTCCTTTCCCTTTGCTTTCCTTCTGCCCTGCCATTGCTCTGCCACTCTCCTCTTCTCCCCGTCTGCTCGGCTAAGTGTGCCGTGCAGGCTGCAGCAGGGCAGCGGGGCGCCATGGAGGGGAGGACATGGGCGCCCTCCTACCACACGCGCCATAGGGCGAGTGGATGCTGGGCTCTATGGCACTCTCCATGCGCCCTGCCACCACACGCGCCACTCATCCACCCCTCCTTCCCTCCTGCTTGGGCCTCCGACTTGCTGCTGCAGCTGGGGTGACTGCTGCAGCATGAGCACTACATGGGCTCTCACCACTCAGCAGGAGCTACATTAGCCTCTAGTGGAGGCGACAAGGCAATAAGAGTTGACAAAGGCTGTCTTGGACCTCAAGTTATTTACCATATAATACATAAACGTTCTCACACCCACCAGTGTTGCAAAAGAGGGACCATCACAAATATCCATACATGACCAATGCTATCTGTGAGGGCAAAGTAGATTGACAAAGACAAAGAGATACAAGCTTTTATAAGAGTACAAGGAATATGAAGAGATACAGTTAATAACCGTTTTACTATTGCTGTTGCGGTTCGATACAGTGACGACTCGGGCAACTGCTCAATAACGAGTCAGCTGTTTGTCCTTGCTGTCGTGCTGTAATTGTCAGGTCAAAGGTCGCTGACCTTTGACTTTCGCGTAACCTCCAGCAGTTGCTCAACCTCCGAGGGTTGACTCGCTGATGCTTCGCTGTGTTTCGCTTCGTTTATGACTTAGTGTTTCGACGCGACAGAGGCGCTTAAATCACTTGTTTCCAACAAGGGTTTCATACTTGTATCTCCCTGTTGCTAGTCATTCACCATTCCAGTTCACGGATTCTAACATGGTATTAGAGCAGGATCGTTCCTAGGGCACACCGAACGTTCCGCCCTGCCCTGCCCGTAAAATTTTTTTTTTTAATGCCTTCAGCCCAGCGCTCGCGCGCCGCCCTGCCTTGCAGCCCCTTAGAGCGGCGCTGCCCTGCCCTGCAGCCCGCGAGCCGCGCTGCCCTGCCCTTAGGCCGGCGCGCCGCCCTGCCCTTAGGCCCGCACGCCGCCCTGCCCTTAGATCCGCGCTGCCCTGCCCTGCAGCCCGCGAGCCGCGCTGCCCTGCCCTTAGGCCCGCGCGCCGCCCTGCCCTTAGGCCCGCGCGCCGCCCTGCCCTTAGAGCCGAGCTGCCCTGCCTTGCAGCCCGCGAGCCGCGCTGCCCTTCCTGTAGGCCCGCAAGCCGCCCTGCCCTGCAGCCCGCGAGCCGCGCTGCCCTTCCCTTTGGCCCGTGCGCCGCCCTGCCCTTAGGCCCGCGCGCCGCCCTGCCCTTAGAGCCGCGCTGCCCTGCCCTGCAGCCCGCGAGCCGCGCTGCCCTGCCCTTAGGCCTGCGCGCCGCCCTGCCCTGCAGCCCGCGAGCCGCGCTGCCCTGCCCTTACGCCCACGCGCCGCCCTGCCCTTAGGCCCGCGCGCTGCCCTGCCCTTAGAGCCGCGCTGCCCTGCCCTTAGGCCCGCGCCCCGCCCTGCCCTTAGGCCCGCGTGCCACCCTTCCCTTAGAGCCGCGCTGCCCTGCCCTGCAGCCCGCGAGCCGCGCTGCCCTGCCCTTAGGCCCGCGCGCTGCCCTGCCCTGCAGCCCGCGCACCTGCTGCCCTGCTGAGCTGCCCTTGCTGCAGCTGCTGGCGCCACTGCTTCTGTTACTGCGCTAGCCCGTGCCCTGCTGCCCATGCACCCTACTGGCCTCCACAGCCACTCCAACAGTCGCTACTGCTGTTACAGCCACAGCGACCACCGCTACTGCTACAGCTGCAGCTACAGCAGTCGCTACTACCGCCCTTGCGCCGTTGCTACTGACTGCCACTGCCTGTCATGGCCACTATCACGGTCGTAGCAGCGTCTAGGGGTGGACAACAGCAGCCACTGCCTCACCCGGACACTCTATCACCGCAACAGCTTTGCAAGTGGGTTATTCAGCGAGGCCGTCCTGGTGGTGGAGGTTATCGTGCTGGAGGTGCTGGACAGCAGCGGCAGCCCGCGCACCCGGACACTCTCTCGCCACAGCAGATTCGTGAGTGGATCGTTCAGCGAGGCCGTCCAGGTGGTGGAGTTTATGGTTTTATGGGTACTGGACAGCGGCGGCAGCAGCGTCAGCAGGAGACCTTCTCTCCGTAGCGGCTCCGCGACTGTGTTTCTCAGCAAGGCGTCCCTGGTTGTGTAGAGGCTGCTGCTCTAGGTGCTAGTGAGTCTGCTGCCGCTCTAGGTGCTAGTGAGTCTGCTGCAGTTCTAGGTGCTAGTGCGTCTATCGCCACTGGTCCTGCCTCAGCTGAGGCCTTGCACACTTTCACACTAGACTCAGGCGCGTCACGTTGCTTCTTTCGTGATTGCACCACAGTCACACCGCTCGCAGCACCTGTCCCAGTCTCACTGGCTGACCCCACTGGGGGCCCAGTAGTAGCGCGAGCCTCAACTGTCCTCCAGTGTCGGGTAGTCCCCTCCGGCTCTCTTTCAGGTCTCCACCTCCCCTCATTCTCGACAAACTTGGTGAGCAACGCCGTCCTTCAGGATGTATGGGTTGATACCTTTATCCCTGGGGGACAGCAAGTGATGATCTGTACGTGCTCCCTGACTGGCCGTCACCTTGCTACGTTCACTCGGCAGCCTGGGTCCAGTATGTACGCACTGACCACTGCGTCTGCACAGGTGGCTGAGTCAGGTCAGGTGGCTGCGTCGAGTCAGGTGTCTGCGTCTAGTCAGCTTGCAGCGTCTTGCTCGTGTCGGGTACTCTCCCACCAGACTCTCCTCTGGCACCACCACCTCGGTCACCCCTCCCTGCCGCGTCTCCGCAGCATGCCCTCCCGTCTCCTTGTCTCTGGCCTTCCCAGGTCCCTGCCCTCCCTCCCGCGCTCGCCTGCCCCGCCGTGCCTTCCCTGCGTCGAGGGGCGGCAGCGCGCTGCTCCTCACTCCTCTGAGTTTCCTCCGAGCACTGCTCCTCTGCAGACTCTCCACATGGACGTTTGGGCCCGACCCCCGTCGGTGGAACGGACCAGGAGCGCTACTTTCTGCTGGTTGTTGACGACTACACACACTACACCACTGTCTTCCCCTTGCGGCGGACGTCAGCGGTGTTTTGATCCCCTGGATCCGTGCTACTCGTTGCAAGCTGCGCGAGCGGTTTCGTCGGGACTTCCCAGTTCTGCGTCTGCACTCTGATAGGGGCGGTGAGTTCTCTTCTGACCTCCTTGCGGAGTTCTGTCGAGACGAGGGCATCCGCCAGTCATTCACGTTTCCGGCCTCTCCTCAGCAAAATGGGATTGCTGAGCGTCGCATTGGCTTGATCATGGAGGTTGCTCGTACCTCCATGATCCATGCGGCTGCTCCCCATTTTCTGTGTCCGTTTGCGGTCCGATACGCCGCGCATCAGCTCAACCTCTGGCCCCGTGTCTCTTTGCCAGAGACCTCGCCCACACTCCGTTGGACGGGACAGGTTGGCGATGCGTCGGCGTTTCAGGTCTGGGGCGCGCTCTCCCTTGTTCGCGATACCACCGCGAGCAAGCTCTCTCCTCGCACTCTCCGCTGCGCCTTCCTGGGCTTCCCCACCGACGCCCCGCCGTGGCAGTTTTACCACCCTCGCTCGCGTCGCGTCTTCTCCTCCCAGGACGTCACCTTTGATGAGTCGGTCTGTTTCTACAGGCTACACCCGCACGCGTCCCACCCGGTCTCCCTGTCGCCTCTTTTCCTGGTACCAGTTCCCCCCCGGTAGACCCCCTCCCCCCACAGGGTCCTGCTCCCTCAGGTGTCTCTCAGGTAGACCCACCCCCCTTGGTTGAGCCTTTGGTGATCTCCTCTGACACCTCTGGCCCATCTGAGGGGGGTGACCCCGCTGCTGACGACACAGCGACCACTCGTCGCTCTCCACGCTTGGAGACCCCTCCTGGTTTTCCGCCTCGACCGTCTTCACCGCCTCTACAGCCTGTAGCTGTGGACACTGGTGCTGCTGGGGGTGGTGATACTGGAGGTGAGGACGCAGGAGGTGCTGGTCCTGGGGGTGCTGAGACTGGGGGTGCTGGTCATGGGGGTGCTAAGACTGGGGGTGAGGGTTCTGGGGGTGCTGACTCTGGGGGTGCTGACTCTGGGGGTGCTGACTCTGGGGGTGCTGACTCTGGGGGAGCTGCGAGTCCTAGTGGTGGTGGGGCCGTGGGTGCTCCTACTGCTGGTCCTGGCGTTGGACATTAGCAGCCGCCTAGTCGACTCGAGACGCCCTCACCGCAGCAACTCCGTGAGTGGGTCGTTCGGCGAGGCCGCTCTGGTGCTGGAGCTTGGAGTTTTACAGCTCCTCGAGCTGCTGGTCCTGGAGGTGCTGGAGCTGCCGGAGCTGGAGGTTCTGGTACTGCTGGCACTGGAGGTGTTGGAGCTGGAGGTGCTGGAGCTGGAGGTAGTGGAAGTGTTGGTGCTGCTGGTGCTGGAGGTACTGGAGGTGCTGCTGGCGCTGGAGCTGGAGGTACTGGAGGTAATGGAGGTGCTGGAGCTGCTGGTCCTGGAGGTGCTTGTACTAGAGGTGCTGGAGCTACCGGAGTAGGTGGTGCTGCTGGCACTGGAGGTGCTGGAGGTACTGGAGATGCTGCTGGCGCTGGAGCTGGAGGTACTGGAGGTACTGGAGGTGCTGAAGCTGCTGGTCCTGGAGGTGCTCGTACTAGAGGTGCTGGAGCTGCCGGAGCAGGTGGTGCTGCTGGTGCTAGAGGTGCTGGAGGTGCTACTGGAGCTGCTGGCATTGGAGGTGCTGGAGG